AGAATATCGTTCATTTTGTATGTTTATGTATGCAGCTTGTTGTAGAATATTTTTTGGACAAAAAAGGGCCGTGAGCTATTCTAAACGGCGCTGAGCTGGAACCAGCCAGGCCTTCTGTCTGGATATTTGTGTTTTTTATTTGGGCCTCTTCTGAGTGTGCCTTCCTTTCCTCCGGGTGTAAGCAGGCCCTTCACTGCAATGGGTTCTACAGTATAAAACAAGCGTAGGTCGTAATTCTTTATGGACAGTTTTACATGGAATAATTTATGGTTTTTGATGTGTTTTTCGAAAGGCGGATTCTGGGCATATTATGTCCTTGCCTTGGAGAGAGCGGATTTTGTTTCTGTGGTAGTTCAGGGAAGAATTGGAAGAGAGAGGGAGGCAGACCAGCAGGTTAGAGAATTTTGTGCATTCTGGGAAGCCCTCTTTTAGGTATATTTTTCTAGATGCATTCTCCAATGATATTACTGAGCTTCAGGACTGAAAAAACATCAGCAGCAATTTTTAACAACCTCACACATGATTAAAAGCTTTGTAAACATTTTTTGTTTATACATGTGCGATCGAGTTAGTTTTTAAAAAAACAATCTAAATGTCTCAAAACATTTTTCTTCAACTTTGGGCATAAACTTGAGTAGTGCACTACTTTCTACAGGTAAGTTACTTATTTGGATTCTTCGATTTTAACATAATTTATTTCTTTTTTTTATAAAGATTAATATGAAAAGTTTATGGTTTAGGGACTTTTCTACCTAGGCAGTAATCTGTCTTATAGGGCCACATACTTACTCCGGAACCTGCTCAATGTAAGAGTAGGAAAAGACTAGACAAGGCAAAACTTAAGTCCATACTCTTAGCAACTAGGACAGCTTGAATCCCGTAACAGGATGTTAACTCAATGACAGAAAGGTGAGTTAGAAGACATCATTTGTGTACCTTCCAACGTTGAAATCAGTGAAAAACTGTATCTGGTGTTGAACCAACCAAACTATATAAACCTATTTGCAAGGGCGCTTCTACTTGTGTATTCAAGCTGGTTTTAGGCTATATGTCATTTTCTTAAATGAAACATGTTATTTTCGGTGTATAATCAGGAGATTTAGCTATTATCGTACAGCAACAATATTAGATTTCAATTTTTTATTAAAAATATACTACACAGATATGCGTTTTTGAGTGCTGGCCCCGGAGCGTGAGGCTATGGCGCAGCCATAGTCCAGCAACCTCAATCGTGGCTCAAAAGACTACCGCTTCCGAGTAGCTGGCTACAGGCATGCGCCACCACCGGCATTCTGGTAATAGGCAAAGGAGGCAGGGTCACTCAGGCAGTGACGGCCAGCAACCGCACCTCGAACCCAGAGGCTAGGATGACAGAGTGAGCCCCACGCGGCCATTTTGTCTTTTGATGTTTATAGTTTCTATCTTGTTTATGTCAAATCCTCACACTCAAGACAGTAAAATGTCAGTAAACCTAGTCAGAAATCATATGATGCTGCATTTAAACTTTTTACTTATTATTTTTACATAATACCTTTTAAAAGATAGTAACTAATTCAGCTTCTTTACCAAAGATTATTAACTTCACATGAACCATTAGGGTTTAATTTATGAGCATTCCCTTATTTTTAAGACAGTCCGCGACCCGAAGCCAAGCATTACGATGGCATACACAAGCATACCTAAACAATACACTCATACAACACACACACACACACACACGTATTTATCCTAAAACTCTAGCCATAGATGTACCAACTCACCATGTGTGTAAAAAGACAATCGGGCGGGCGCGGTGGCTACGCTGGTAATCGCTAGCACCTGGGGCGAGTGGTGGGCGATTGCTCAAAGGTCAGGAGCTTTCACAGCGCTGAGCGAGACCGTCTCTACATAAAATTAGAAAGAAATTAATTGGCCAATATATTGATATATAAAAAAAAATCAGCCGGGCATGTGGCTTGTGCTGTGTCCGCACGGAGCTTGAGGCAGGAGATCGCTTGAGCCCAGGGAGTTGGGAGGTTGCTGTGGCTTACTGTGCACGGATCACTCTAGCTAGGAAGAAAGCGAGATCTGCTCTCAAAAAAAGACAATTGGATCCAAATGTCTTCTGACAAAACTGGAACTTATTTACATGGCAAACTTTAGTTGCCCTGATTAGTAACTTCGTTATGCCTGTGGATCAAAATTTGGGGTAAAACAGTTTCCATGGCAGTTTGATTATAAAAATGTCTTCAGCTGTTTTTTTGGGGGGAGGGGTTCCTCTTTAGTTGACAATGAGTTTTCAAGTTACATTTTAGGTAGAACTGGCTGCAGAGTCTGCAGGTAGCCTTTCAATTGCAAATACCATAATCAATGAATTATCTGAATATCAACATAAAAAGTTAGCAGGTATTTTAGAAGCCAGAAGAGAGAAAGCATGAGAGACATTTTAATTCTATATTGGTAGGTCTACCATTTGAGCTTCGAATTTTCCTTGATGTGATTTGCCCTTTCCTAAAAACTTGTGCACAAGAATTGGCTATAACCAGCTGAGCCCTAGAAAACCTGGCATGCCTTTGAACCTTTCCATTTACACAAAACTTGCAAGTACTGGTGCCATAAACTAACTGGGGTGCCTAAGAGGTCGTTCTCTTTGTCTTTCCTCATTTTTAAAGGATCTGTTTCCCATTTTGCTTTGAAAGAAGCAACTGAACTGTATTCTAGGGTTTTGTGTCATGGATCAAAGTGTGCTGATTGTGGGTGGTATTCTTCAATGTTCCACCACTGAGTCGGCCTCACCCTCTTACGTGTCTCAGTTTCTCTCTTGAGTGTCTAGTACCTCTCAGAGGGCTCAAAATGCCAAGTGATGAGGTCTCATATGCCTTTCCTTGAAGAGCCTTCTTTTAATTTATTTGTTTGGGGGTTCCCTATAAGGCCACGCAAGCCTAATGGAATCACCCCACACAACTCACGCGCAGCACCACGGGCACCCAGAAGTACATAATGGCTAGGAAAAGTAAAATGCCCTTTCTTCCTCAGAGCTGAGGAACACAGTCCTGTTTCCTCTTTCACAAATGCATAGAAAAGCCAATTAAGATTACTTTTAGGATAAAAATACAATGGAGAAGACACTTTAGAATGCACCTCCAAACTAAATTAGGATCCCAAACAATAATTCCTAGGAAAAGAAACAGCTCTGAGTAAACCAAGACCATCAACCAAAAAACAGGAGGGCCAGAGCTCAGGAGGACTTACCAGTTCCACCATAGGAGAAGCTCAGAGTCAGGGGTGACAAAAGGGCCGTGCCAGTACCTGGTGCAGAGTTTGGGCTATTCCTTCAGGGATCCTGAGTCTTCTTTGAGCCCCATGTTGGGCGCCAATCTTGTCAACAGAAAAGAACCCAAAGTGCAAAATAATTTAAAGAGGTTTATTCTGAGCCAAATTTGAGGACCATGACAAGGAGTCATGCCCAAGGAGCCTTCAGGAAGTGGACTTAATGTGCTCGGGTTACAGTTTGCTTTTCTACATTTCAGGGAGACAGGGGTTACAAGTAAGGTCGTAAGTCAATATGTGGAAGGCATACATTTGTTTTGGCCCAGAAATGTGGGCCATCTCAAGGTGGGAAAGGCTTTGGGGGTAGGTGGGTTTCAAGACTCTTTGACTTGTAATTAATTAAAGACATGAGCTTTTGTCTAAAGGCTTGGAATGTTAAGTAAGCCTATAAATCAGAAACAAGCCAGTGGACATATATTTATTGTGTAAATTGAGGACCTGCAGGTTTGTCCTTAGGCCTGTTAATGGGTTACAAAGGATATCTCCAGGAAGGAAGGGAGCATGACGAGGCATGTCTGACCTCCCTACTCCTGGCAGGCAATTTAGTTTTAGGGTATCTCCTTGGCCAAGAAGGAGTCCATTCCGTCAGCCATTGTTGGGGGGAGCTGATGATTTTATTTTAGTTCACAACTGTAACACTGAAATTTTTTAATCAAAATATCATCCCATTTCCTTGTGCAAGAAGTCTAACCCCAGTTCATGTCAAGCAGAGGAAAACTACTAGATAAACAAATTAAACAAAAGGCAATACCAAAGTATAAATACAAAGTGATACAGAACTCTAGAGGAGAAAGGAATGGCAAACTAACAAGAAAATATCATCCAGCATAACAGGAAAGAAACTTAAAAAAAATGTGAAGAAGAAACTGTGGAAGAGGGAAAAGGAAAACCAAAGAACCCATCATGGAAAACAGTGGGTATAAAAGGTACCTTTACCCTTCTTGAGAAATGGTTTTATTCATTGTTGACTCTTTTCTCCTTGTCAGTGAGCAAGACAGACCAGAAGCATGTGGGACATTTAGCTATTTAGCAAGAGAACAAGGAACGAGTGGTAAAATTGGTAAAGTTTTGCAGTAATCACTGAATTTTTGGCTTCAAAAGATACAGGACCTGTGTGCCTATGGCACTAAGTGCAGCTTCATGGATGCAGCTGTTCCCAATGTCAGTACCCAGGGAGTGATTACTAAGGGAAGCACGAAAACTGCAAATGAAACCCTTGCTTCCTAACCACAGCAATGTGAAAAAGAAAACACAAGCCACCTGTGAGCTGTGTCCAAAACAAAGCAATGGGGGGCAGTGGGAAAGAAAGAAAACATTAAGTTGTCTCATACACATTTCATCTCAATTTTATCACCCTGTGTAATTGATTTCCAAGACTTCAAACACCCTTTAACTATAGTTATTCAACCTACTAAACAAGTCATCTCACTGTTGCCCCATTTGAAGGAAGAGTGGAGACTCTCTCAATGTAGATAAGAGAAAGAAAAAGGAGTCACCTCAAAAGAGGAGAGTGTTCTGAAGCCTAATGGTAAGAAGTGGTGACACTTTGTCACTTGCCTTAACCCTTTCAAAGATTCATCAAACCAGAAGATAGAAATCCATGAAGTTATGAATACAACTTTTCTCATTAAAAAACCAGAAATATTTCTTCACAAAAAAAGAACACATATAAATGACATCTTATCACTCACTCATTTAGGTCTACCTCTTGGCCATTGATCTCCAGTGGCTTCTGCTTTCTGCAACATGAAAAAAGGAAGTCACTAGAGTTTCCTACCTGACATTATTTGTGTGCATTGCACTACAGGGCACGTTTCAAATAAAAAGTTCTGGTTTGCAGCTGAGGTAAGTAGATTATTTTAACAACGTCGTTCTTCTCTAAGGCTCATCTTGTTTTAAATTATTTTAGCATATTCTTCTTCTCTATTTTTTATCACTGCATGATGTAAAGAGTTATCTATGCAACCCCTATCCCTAAAAGATTCCCCTGGACAGATCTCATCTGAAATGCATGAAAATGCTTTTTAAAAAGCTATTTTGCCCTTATTTCTGTCCATAATAATAAAAAAAAATTATCACCACATTCCATAATTACATCAATTAGTATTTTAGGGAACTAATGTTTTTCAAATGATCAAGATTTTCTTTTCATTTCACAACTGAAGGTAAAAAAAAATTAAAGTTGATATATTGCTTTTCACTTTACAAAGCACTTATAACCTATATTGGCAGCCAAAAGCAAGTCTAAATGTAGAAAGGAATGCATAACCATTCTAGTAATGATTCAAAATAAAAATATTTTGACACTTTTACTTCGTCAATTTCCTGATTCTTGCCAAAAAATAATCACCTGTCAATCAGTTCACCTAAGGCAGAGGGGAAAAAAGCTGGCAGAAATCATCCGTGCTCTTTCAAGAGATGGAAACTATGAGTGTCTAAAAATATACATTATTCATTATAATTCCATACTCAACACAGACCTAACATGAACATATTTCCCGTTATCTTGAGAATTTGTTTCATTGCTTAACCTCACAGATTTTTCTGGTAGCACAGTTATTTTTTTCCTTTTGAATCAAAGTTTAACGTTATCTATCAAGTATTAATAATTAGCTTTTTCTGTTTTGTCAACCTTACTCCAATCCCTCAACACAATAAAAACACATGAATACACCCCCCACACACACCATATATACCTTCTAGGAAAACATGTGTTTATACTTTTCAGGATAAAGAAAACCTAGTATATATTGTTCTGTGTATGAGAATCTTCCCAAGGCTACCTCAACACAGAACTGTAGGTAACCTGAGCCAGCAAGACTTGCTTTGCCTTTTACTTTTGTCCTCTGGGTTACCAGTCAGTGGGCACTTGGTACAGGGGTACAGGGGTATAGTGGGTACAGGGGTACAGTGGGTACAGGGGTACAGTGGGTACAGGGACACTAAAATGACATGTTTTAACTGTCTTCACTGCCAAATGAAACTTTCCTCTTTCTCTCTTCCATCTGCTTAGTAAAAAATAGATGGCTATAGATGATAGTTGATAGACAGGTAGATAATAGGTATAATAAGATGTAAGATTTCCCACCAAATAATATCTCCCTGCTCTGGCATTACTATGTAACAGGTCCCATGAATTAACCCAAACTCTATAAGGATGTAATATTAGCTCACATTTATTGAGCATTAAAAATAGCCCTGGCACTGGGCTAAGTCAGTCTTGTGTTACTTTAATCCTCACAGCAGCCTTATCAAGTGGGTGTAGTTATTTTTCTCGTGTTGCAGATGCACAACTAAGTTTTACATAGGTTCTGTATATAACTCACTCAAAGTCACACAGCAGACAGTAAGTGTTAGACCTGGGATTTGCACCCAGCTCTGGGGGACTCTAATGACTGTGGCTCCTACGCTCTTAACAATGTTACCAGCCCTTAGTACACAAGCATTTGCTACCATAGAAAATATTTTAGGAAACTAAAATCGTCACTGATTCAGCTAAGCTTCCAAACAAAAGGAAACCTGGTAGCCTTCAGGAGCTCTATCCAACCATCAGACTTGGGCACTATGAATTGTTGCTTACTACTTTTGAGTGGCTCCAAAAAGGAATGATTTATTGTCAGGGGTTAGTGGCATTGTCTTACTCCAGTCACATGAGCATGAATTAAGTGAAAGCTAGGAGTGCCCAGTGAGCCACACCGTCTTTCAGAGCGTTGCTGCAAGGAGAGGAGGAGGGTCCCGAGAGGATCACAGACTCTGCTCAGGAAAGCTCAGGTTCAAATTCCTGCTCTGCCATCTTAGCTTGACGACTTTCCTCACTCTGGTTTCATCTGTAAAATAACAACCCCGGGAGGAGTCATCCAGGTACTCAGAAGTGCCTGCCATAGATATTCCCTCACTCCTGACAAGATGAAACTCTTCAAGGGAAAGTGTTTCTTCAAGTTAGCACCAGCTCACAGAAGGTTCTGAAAATGCCAATATTCCATTCCATCCATCACCTTTAGACTGAAGCTTTTAAGAAACCCTTTGGATGGTGCGTAGTGAGTTCTATGAGTACAAAATTCTCTAGTATGGAAGCAGCATCTGATTTAATCTGTGGGGGCAATTGCAAGATTGCACAGTTTACCCAGTAGTAAATTACACAAACATGGAAGATAGAAATCCTTCGCAATGGGAAGGGGGGCGGTAGGTGGGGCTGAGGGGAGGAGGCTTTTGACCTGAAAGGCTAATGGTGCTACACCAGGATTTTTCTGTACAGTTGTTACAATTCAGGGGCCATGATATGATCTGGGTGTATCTAAAATCTACTGAAGAGAGGGCTTTTTTTCCTAAAAGGGTGTCACTGCATTTCAAAGTCAGACAAAGCAAATCTCTCAAAGAGAGAGAAAGCCCTGCAAATGAGATAACTTTTAAATGAGCATCTCACTTACAATAAGCCTATTGAGAAATAAGATTCACATCATTAACTAGAGAGCAAAATATCATGATTATCTTTTGGACTTGTTAAAAGCAAATTTGCTCCTTGGTTGTTCAGGCCAGTCTTACATGTAAACTGAAATTCTCTTCTGAGATTACACATGGAAGAAACACATTAGCTGTGCTGTGTGGGGTTGATCTGGGAGGTTTTCAGTGTTCTTTAAAACATTATTTAATCATTCTAATCAAACTCCACAAAGGCTGCAAAACAGGTTAGGAGTTTAGTTTGTAAACCAGCAAAGATGCAGGATTTGTACATACTGGAAAACACGTTTAACGCTCGCTCTTCAGGATATTATTTTTCAAAGAAGACAAAAAAACTTCCAGGGTGCTTGTTTTGTTTTTACTATATCAACAAATGCAATACTGTAAAAGTATACATTTGGTTTTCCTTTGCCAGAATAGAATTTGGTTCTATACCACAAACCTTTGTATAATGGAGATGTAACTAGTTCTAAGTGTTCATGGCTTATATAGGTGGAGAAAAGGGAGTGACAGTAGAAATTCTGCATTTATAAGATCTGAAATTTCAGAATATTACCAGCACTATTATGCTAATGTTCACAACAATTATATCATATTTTGTTAAAAGTACTACTTCTTCCTTGATTATCCTCATTCATATTTTTATTTCCTTTTTTTAAAGTTTAGATTCATAACTCTAAACTTAATTTTATAATATGTTTAGAAGCAAGTTCATGAGGGTTAGGAGGAAGGTTAAATGGGAAATGTAATATCTCTTCCTCTAAGAAGTTCTGGTACTCCAGGCTCTTAAATGTACTCCACATTGGAAAAATTAAGAAAATTCATCTAGCAAATATATTTCTTGAGCTTGATGATAGTGCTTAGTGCATGATGTACAAGAGGTGTTCACTTCATACTTCTGAAAGGGACAGAGAAAAGGATGAAGAAAGGAAAGAAGGGAAGGAGGGAGGGAGGAAGGAAGGAAGGAAGGAAGGAAGGATGGATGTATGTATGTATGTATGGAAGGAAGGAAGGAAGGAAGGAAGGAATTTATATGTGTGTTTTATTTCCTTCTTACCATCGGTATGCTGCAACTTAGTAAAACTTCAGAAATCATGTCATCTAGCCCTCTCATTGAACAAATAAGGGAACTTCTGGATGTGATATAGTCCCCAAAGGCATAGCCCTATAGTTTATTTGGGGGCCAGAAGTCTGTGGGTATCAGTTGCAGAAGGCACATAATCCCTTCATAACCTTTGGAGGGCCACTTTTAAGGTTTCTCAAAACCTAACTTCCAATGTGTATTTCAGATCACTGAACATAACAGAAATCTAACTTGTATCAAATATTTTATAAAATATTGAACAGCACATAATGGTGGAAAGGATATAAGCTTTGGAATTAAAGTTAAATTCAAACCCAGGTGCCACCATTTACTAGAGCTGAACTATAACACAAGTCATAGTTTATATCTTTGAATCACAGTTTTCTAATTTATACAATGGAGACTACAATGCTTATGTCACAGGATTATAGGAGCTAATATATATATGTTAAATGCCTGACAAAGCTATGGCATTTGGTAGAGAGTCCAATGTAATTTCTTCTTTCTCCCTTTATTTTAAAATGCTACCCTTAAAAAGAATACCTACCATTTCTGTAAGTTTCCACAGTGATTTTCCAATCATTATCAAGTAAGGCAGCTATTACTTGCCTGTTTCACAAACCAAATATTAAGCAACCTGCCCATGTTCATAGGTAGTAGAACTGAGACCAAATCTGATTTCAAGGCAGTAAAGGGTCTGTTCTTCAGGGAGCTATCCCCACATAGAATAAAATTGCCACGGGAGCATTTAAAATACAAAAGATAACCTCCTAGGGTGAAAATCAAATTAGTTAGAAGTAAAGTATTTCCAAATTTTCCTATAAACACAAAGATAAGAACAGAGGTTGGGAACTAAGAGAATATTTCAATTCTGATTTCAGGGACAAATTTAGATGGCTATTAATTTTTTGCTATTATAACTGTTCTCACTATATTGTATATGTACTGTGATGAATGATGGATAAAGCCAGAACTCTCCTACTCCAAATCAGTCATGCATCTGTAGAAAAAAACGAGCTAGAAAAATATTTGGATGCCAGGGTTCCTGTTTTGTTTTCATGTATTTTGATTTTTTTAAAGATTTAGACCTGCTGAACCTAAGAATCTATAGAGCCCAATATCCAAAGTCTAGAAAGTCACATTTTGTTTCAGTTGCTCTTTTAAAAAAATATAAACAGCATAAATCAATGTGCCTTTTGATTGGCATCAAAATCAACTAAACTAATCAGACTAAGCCTTGAGAAAATTCTCATTTTGCCTTTTTGATAATCCCAATCTGAGGTTTCCCAATTTTAAGTACAACTCTTTTAGTGTTAAAAAAAATGTTATAATTTGCTATCACAATAAATTTTTCAATAGGAAATATAAGTCAATCCCATCATCCATTGTAGTTTTCTCTTATTTTACTCAAGGAAACCCTTACTCTCAACATCTATGTTATTATTTTGTACATATTTATCTCCACATATATAAATATTAAATTAATACCAAAGCCAAAACAACAGAAAAAGTTACCATTTTCAAACTTTAAGATTCTCCTCCTCCAAATCTTCCCTTTGCCTCTTCTGGAATCAGAAAAACTTATAGCAATGATACAAGATTTCACAGGAATAACCTTCTGAACAAATCTGTTATTACCCTAGATGACAGGGAATGCTTGCACTACTTGTCACTAAATCAAATAGAATATGCCCTTCGAAAGTGATCAGTAGGCTGGGTGCTGTGGCTCACGCCTGCAATCCTACCACTCTGGGAGGCCGAGGCGGGAGGATCGCTCAAGGTCTGGAGTTCAAGACCAGCCTGAGCAAGAGTGAGACTCTGTCTCTACTGAAAATAGAAAGAAATTATCTAGACAACTAAAAATATATAGAAAAAAAATTAGCTGGGCATGGTGGTGCATGCCTATAGTCCAAGATACTCAGGAGGCTGAGGCAGGAGGATCTCTTGGGACCAGGAGTTTGAGGTTGCTGTGAGCTAGGCTAATGCCATGGCACTCTAGCCCGGGCAACAGAGGGAGACTTTGTCTCAAAAAAAAAAAAAAAGTGTTCAGTGTATAAAAACAATATAAAATAAAGCAATAGAGTAAATTATAGTCAGTTCTCCCCTCATCTTTTCCTCCTGGTTGGCACAGGGATTCGTAACTAGAAACTTTGGCATCTAGGACATTGCTATTCAGGTTCTACTCTGTGTCCTTTGCTCTGAAAACAGCAGAAAGTTAACTAGTAAGCCAAGACAGGTTTGAATGATCTTTCAACATCCATGTGTTCTTAACAAAGAACTGAAAGGCAGTAGAATACCAATCTGGAATATTCTATCTCCTTAACAAAATGATCTATTGAGACCTTGAGGTAAACATGAGCCAGGAACGCAGCTCAGCCAAACTAATAAGGAGCCTGCAAGTATAGAAGAGCTTAGAAGGATGATGGCTTCCAGAGAATTAGAACTATGGGTACCTAGACATAAAGTTACTTCACGAAATAATTCAAATGTATTTGAATTTCCTATATTTGGATCATTATGTGTGATGACATAAAACAAAACAAAACAAAACAAAAAAAAAACGAAGGCATTGCTGAAGGTGTGAGAGCCAGGGATGGATTTTAGGGACAGCAGCACTGGGTGACCACTCACTGGGCTGTTAAGCACAAAGAAAATCCACACTGGGGAACAAAGGGGACCCAGTGGGGGCAGAGGGGCCCTCTTCTCTCCAGGCTCCAGGCCTGGCTGCAACTCACTCAGAAGCCTCTGTAGGCCACGGGCTGCTTCTAGCCAGCTCCCACCCAGAGCTGAGAGTCCACACCTGGCTGACCTGCGTTATCAGGATCCAGGGAGCTCAGGGTCTTCTTGCTCTCCACTCTAAAGGCAAGGACACATGTGAAGGAGACTGTCAGGTATTTTGCAATGTGCAAGACATTCTCATTGTCTCTTGCACCCTGCTGTGCAACAAATGTCAGGGCTTCTTCCTCCTGTCTGTCTGAAACTCTGTGCCCTGTGACCAACTACCCATGCCCTCCCTCTGCCACCCCCAGCCTCTCATCAAACTACCCTGCTTCTATGATGTCAGCTTTGCAGATTCAAGAGGGAAGTGACATTATGCTGCATTTGCCTTTCTGAGGTGATGGATATGTTAATTAGCTTTATGTCACAATCCACATAGTGCACATATATAAACTTCACATTGTACCCCATAAGTGTCTGCAACTATGACTTTTCTATTAAAAATAATATCAGCAAAACCATAATAAATAAAATAAGATGCAGGAAGCGGGGCTGGACCGCCCCACGTACTTGCTCTTTGTGCTTTAGCTGTCCACATTCTCTGGCTCCACTTTGTTCAACCATCTGTGGCACATCTTTCAGGCTGGCAGGACACAGCACATTCTTAACATAAACTTGGCAAGTCTCCTAGTGAGCGTATTCTGGCCCTGGCCGTCTTCAGAGGGTGAGATTGAGGTCTTCCCATCTGGCTGCCCAGGCTGGAGACAGTTGGCTTCCCTGGATGTTTCCTGGGAACAGGTGTCTCCTCCTTGCACTTACCCACAGCTGCTGGTGCTGTGGGTGGAGGTGGAGGTCACGGGGCCACGCTGGAGGGCTGTGCTGACACCAGGATGCCTCTGTAGGCTGGGTAGAGGACTGGCAGGCACTGTGGGTTTCCTGGTCTCCTCTGGTGTCTCTTGCCCCTTGATCCAAATGTCCCTCATAATTTCAGGAAGGGTTGGCTTCTCCTTGGGGTGGGGGGTCAATGGTCAGGAACTCCTTCAAAAATGTTTTCAATTCTTCAGAAAAGAAAGCAGGTGTCTCATACCTTCCATGAGTGGTGTTAGTTTTCAGTTTCTTTCAGTTGTCACCATGAAATGGAAGATGCCCAGCTGTCATGGTGTGGAGGACAAGACCGAGGTTCCACACATCCACCTCCAGTCACAGGTATTCTTCACCAAGGAACATTTCTGGGGCACAAAAAGGAGTTCCATAGAAGGTGCCCAGCTTCTTCCCCTCATTAAATGTCATGGCAAGTCTGAAATCCACTTGCTGGATGTTCTCATTCTCATCAAGTAGAACATTGGGTGCTTCAGGTCCCAGTGGGCAATGTGGTTCTCGTGGCAGTACTGCTCAGCAGCCAGGATCTGGTGGAATTTGGCCCGGGCCTCCTTCTCATTCCGGTGGCGGTTTCTCACTATGTGCCAGAAAAGGTCCCTGTCACTGGTGTACTCTGTTACTAAACAGAGGGGTGTCTTCATTCCTGATGACATCCAGAAGCTTAAGGATGTTTGGATGATTCAGGGCCCTCATGGTTTTGACCTCCATATTGACACTTTCCAGGCTGGGGAGGGTCTTCTTGGACATAGTTTTCTTTTTTTTTTTTTTGAGACAGAGTCTTGTTTTGTTGCCTGGGTTAGAGTGCCGTGGCGTCAGCCTGGCTCACAGCAACCTCAAACTCCTGGGCTCAAGCAATCCTTCTGCCTCAAGTAGCTGGGACTACAGGCATGTGCCACCATGCCCGGCTAATTTTTTCTATATATATTAGTTGGCCAATTAATTTGTTTCTATTTATAGTAGAGACGGGGTCTCACTCTTGTTCAGGCTGGTTTCGAACTCCTGACCTTGAGCAATCCGCCTGCCTTGGCCTCCCAGAGTGCTAGGATTATAGGTGTGAGCCACCGTGCCCAGCCTGCTTGGACATAGTTTTCACGGTCACCTGGGTCCCAGTAGGAGGATGCTGGGCCGGCATCGCCTTGTCAAAGCTGCCCAAGCCAATTGTTTTGAGGAGTTTATAACTGTTAAATGCCTCAGTGGATGAACTGGAGGCAAGGCCTGCTCCATGGTCGCCTCTAATGACACTAATTCTATACTAATGATGCTAACTAGCTAATGAGCACTGCCACCTATACTAACTTGGCTAAGATTACTAACAGTACTAACTATACTAACTACTCTGACAATACTAACTATATGAACTACACTAAAAATACTAATAAATAATGCTAAACAGGATAACAATACTAATTACACTAATACTACAAAAATACAATACTAAGGATACTATCCTAACACTAATAAAAAATAATATTAACTACTCTATGCTAAGACTACTAACAAACAAAACTAACTATAGTATGGTAACAAAACCAACAAACAAAACAAACTATAGTGTGGTAACAAAACTAACAAACTACTAACTATCCTACACTAACACAACTAGCAAACAATGTTAACTATGCTAACTACATTAACAATGCTAATTAACAATGCTAATTAACAAGGAAACAGCAGTCTCACTGTGGTCAAACTCCACAGGTCACCAAAAAGCAGCTTCCTGGGCAATATGGACGGAAATCCTAGGCCCAGCCAGGGGCTTACACAGGTGTTGGTAAGTTGGTCACAATGGCTCTTTATGAGGTCAGAGCAGGAAATGGGCCAATCAGGGCTGGGTAGAACCCACAGTGGCTTTTTCCTTTTTTTGTCACAAGCACATTTTCCTCTTTAAAGAAAACAAGTGTTTTTTGTTCACATGGTTATAGAGATTGAGATATAGTTTATTAGAAATTTAAACCTGTGCAATGCTTCATGGACCTTTCCATTTATAGTCTGAAAATCTGTAATAACTTTAGGCTTTCAAAGACCTCATAATGTCTATACTTGAAGTACTCAATTTCTTTTTCTTTAAATTCTGATTGGTGTCAGGGTGATGCTACGACATAGCTGACATGATCCTCCTGTAAGTGACATTCCTGGTGCAGGGAGAAGCGTGTCCGGGCCAGCTCTGCACCTCAGGCCCCAGCCAGCCTGGCCCGGAATGAGGGAGAAGAAGTGGCAGACACCACAACCCAGCACTGGGCTGCAGGTGGAGCCAGGGCTGAGTCGGGATGGCTGCGACCCAGGTGCAGCGGGAGGTTCCATGAAGACACGGACTCGAACTGCTCTGGTTCCTGTCCCGGCCTCCTTGCCCTGAGTTAGGTGAGCTCTGCTGAGCAGGGCCTAGGGGCCCGGCACACCTGGAACCTGGGTGCCAAATTGGAGTCCCTTGCAATGTCACACTAGCGCTCTTGTGTCCTTGCTGGCCCTCGGTTTCTCTTGGTCTGGAGGGATAACACCATAGCCCTCCTGGGGCAGATTTAGGGATGAAATAGGGCAGCGGGACCACCAACTGAGGGCCCACTGTGTGCCAGGCCCAGAGCTGGGGCCCAGCGCTGAGTGTGCCCACAGGACGCATCTCCTGGACACTGACCACAGCCCACGGGGCGGCCTCAGCTCCACCGCGCTGGTCTCCCGGCCGCGCAGCAGTTACGCTCCGGCCCACGGAACAGCTCTTGACTCTTTACTAAGGACACTTTGGCCACCTCTCACTTGCTCCGCACAGGCAGGGCCAGGCCCCATCCTCCCCATTTCACGACAGGAGGCTTGGAGGGAGCAGCCTCCACCCCCGCAGGCAGAACAGCAGGAACAGCAGAGGAGGACTCCGACCCGACCCGGGGTTTGCACTCTGAACTCTGCATCCTTTCTGATGGCTGTAGGTGGTGCTGAGAACCGCGGTGACCCCGCTCAGGAAGGCCAACCCCTCCTGGTGGCCACTTGGAGCCACAGAGGCCAGGGCCCTGGTGTCGATTCCTGGGCTGGGCTCTCAACAACCTCTGCTCCTCGGGACAGGTGGCCGCTGTGAGCTGAACGCGCAGCAGACCCGAGATGTCCATGAGGAAAAGACTGTCTGCAAGGCCCTTGCAAATCCTGGCAAACTTACCCAGAGCAGCATCGAAGCCTGGCTCCTCAGTGAAAACATCATGTGCCGGGTATTCAGAGACAGCTTGCTGGAACTGCCGCTGCCAGCCCAGGAGTGACTCTGGGTGCAAGACCTCAGTGACTCCCATCTGGGCCAGGGAGCACTCACCTAGAGAGGGGGAGGGAGTGAAAGGATGTGGCCAGGCTTGCCACCCACCACACCCAGGCCCACGAGACCCAAAACCCCAGAATGAAAGCAGTCTAAAAGAGTCACCTGCCTTCCACGCAGGGCCCCAGGGCTGTCCAGAGCTTAAAGATGGAGTCACAGTTGATAAATGCCAAGGATAAACCACACAGAGGAGGGGGTCATTCTGAATCATGGGGAGTTTCAGATACGAATTTCAGCATTTGTTCTAGAGCGTGCTTCCACGGTCACGGCAGACAGGCCAGTCCACCAGTGCGTGTCTCCTGTCCCTGTCGGCAGGGGACGAAGGCACACTGACTGCACATTAGGAGGGCACCGGTTCTTCACCAGTACACTGGGTGTCACTCGGCAACAGCAGAGTGCTGTCCCCTCGCACTGAGGCAGGAAAGGAGAGGCTACCATGAAACGATAAAGCTGTCCCATGCATCAGAACAACAACAGTGGCATTGAATTCTATCAGGTAAGTGGTTTTAGAGAAACAGCCTGTATTGGCTTATTTATTTCTGGCGACTGCCGTCCAGGGCTGTCACGGGCAGAGGATGGGGTTAAATGTGCTATGCACGACTTGGGAGAGTAATTATAAAAATAAAAATCAGCAACTAGTTTTACTAAGTCATTAGTTTCTGGGGTTAGTGGTGGTAAATTGTGGCTTGCATTGCTCTGGTGCCCTAGGGCTGAAATTGCATTTCCAGTTCAGAAATAGGCATCTTCGGTGTGACTGTCAGCCTTCCGGCTTCAGGAGGACTACTTGTGCTCAGGTGGTCATCGTGTTTTCCTCAGTGCCACGTGGTTTCCTTTACTCAATTTTACCAACCAGCTCGCTCTTTCAGCTGCATCCTGGATGGTAGAGTCTATCCTTTCTGACTTTTTTTTCCAATTTCTGCAGGATATATTCTATTCCTCAGTGTTCCTAATTTATTCATTAGCTCCTTGATAATACTGCTTTGATTCTCAATTCTTTCCATAGGTCTCCAATCTCCTTTTTCATCTCATCCTGATTCTTTTTTTTTTTTTTTAATCTTCTAATTTTTGAGCTCTTCAAATGGGGTTCTTATTAAGTTGTTCTAGAGTGGGAAACAATGATGAGGAAATTTCATTATGTTCTTTGAGGTTTCGTTTTTCAAGGTGGAATTCTTTCTTTTCTAACATCATATTACAAACATTTTCAGAGAGAGAAATTGAAAAAGAGCTTTAAGTTGACCCATATCACATCGTCAATATGCAACAATTTCAACCTACAAAAACAGCAATATCACGTTTCAGCCTGCTACTATGAACATTCAATTAAGTACTTATTTACATGCTTTTTTGCTAAGGAATAAGTTATTAGAATCATGATACTTCACCCCTAAAGACTTCAGCATGCACCTCCAAAGAACATTGTCCTATATAACTGTGAGTCTAGGTTGGGTTCTTCATTTATCTGTTCCTTCTTTCCCTCTGTCTTTCTCTCTTTCTGTCTTCCCGCTTTGCTTCCTCCTTGACTGTGTCTGCACAGCACATTTCATTTCACACGTGCTCGGGCAGCTCTGTGCAGGTGCTCTGCATGCTCTGACAGGGCAGGTGTACATCCTTGGCTCTCTGCCCACTGTGCCTCAGACCAGGCACAGCATAAGGGCTGGATCTCCAGGACTAGGACCTAGGCCCTCTTCCTATGCCTGAAGGCTGGCTACAGGAGGCACAGAACTTGGGGGACTGTGGGCAGTCCTCCTCAGGACACCCAAGCTTGGCTCTGTTTGCAGCAGGAATGGGAACCAAATTCCCAAGTCATACTTTGGCCCCATGCAGCAACCCTGGGTCACCTGGAGCTGCCTGCAGAGGGCTGGAATAAGCAGGGACATGGAGGAAGGGCATTCCAGACCTTTCTGCCTTTACATGAGTAATTCTTTCTGCCTGGATCCTTCTTCCCCTCTTTGCCTGCCTGAACTCTTTATATCCTTCAGGGCTCAGCTGAGATGTCACCACCTCCAGGAAGCCATCCATATTCCCTCCACACTGAGTTGGGGATACTCCTCTGTATGCTCACAGTCCTGAGGGTTTTCCCCATGACCACCCGTATTGCCTGGAGATGCCACGTTGCATCATCCCTCTCTCATCTCCTTTTAGCCTGCTTGTGTCTTGAGGGCATCCTGCCCACTGATCTCCCATCAGGGAACCCAACAGGAAGCTGAGGGCCTGGGAGCTGGTGGGAGAGGGCATCCTTCTAGGACACATGGAGGAGCATGGAGAGCAGCAGACAGAGCCTCTAGATGGACAGATGGAAGGGATACCCCAGACACCATCTCTCACTCTCTCTCTTCCCCTTCCAGAATCAAAATGCACATGGGCTAGCACACTGAGCATACACACTTAACTGCATTTACTGCTGCCCCCTCCCAACCAAACTTACTGGCTTTTCTCCTGGTGACTTTAGGTTGCACTGACCTCGAAGAGTTAATACTCATCTCTACTAAAAAACAAAAATAGAAAGAAATTAGGTGAATAACTCTCTCTCTCTCCCTCTCTACAATATATAAAATTAGCCAGGCATGGTGGCACATGCCTGTAGTCCTAGCTACTTGCTTGGGAGGCTGAGGCACGAGGATTGCTTGAGCCCAAGAGTTTGAAGTTGCTGTGAGCCAGACTGACACCATGGCACTCTAGCCTCAGGCAACAGAATGAGACTCTGTCGCAAAAAAAAAAAAAGGGCAATTGCACACTGCTGCAGTCATCCCATCCTAGGATGGCAGATGACGGGGCCAAGACTGTGTCAGCCTCTGCACTCAGGGTTGGCCATTTGAATCAGCCTGGTTGGCCTCTGCCTTCACTTCACTTCCTCACTAGCTGCCCCATCTTGTGCAAGTCCCTACTGGAATTTAGTTTTCTCACCAGGGAGATGGGGGCTGGACTCCTAAATAAGTGGTTGTCATACTATTTTTTAACCTCAGCACATTTGATTCTAGTGAAATATGAAATGAAAATGAAAACTAAGAAGCCAATAAAGGAGAGACACTGATTAGGTGTGGAGGTGAGGTGCGAGAGCAGCATTTGGAAACCGCCACTAGGACATCCCTGTGGTGTCTTTCATAGGACTCTGTGGTTGGAGGAGGGTCCGGGTGAGGGGGTGAGGGGACGGGCAATTGGAGAGGGGGCCATAGAGTCATGACTTCTCGTCAGCAGCAGAGCAGACCCAGCTACCAGGTCTGAGAACCGTCCCCAACTTGCTGGCACAGGAATTCAACCCAGGGCATAACACCTTGTTCATCTTTTCGTCCTTTTCTTTTCATGAACTTGATGGTGGTGACCTTCAGTTTTGCTTTGGAGGTAGTGCCGTTGGTACTGGCAGCTGCGTTTGAAGGAGTGGTATCCTATGCACATGACCATCCATGCTGGGACCTTCTGTCCAGCTCCCAATCTTTCCACACATGGGTCATAGACCTGACAAGGGGGAACCACTTCCCCAGTGTCCCTGGCACCACTCTGACCCCTGACCTCTGACCCCTAACTTGGGTTAGAATTAGGGTTAGGGTAGCACACCACATGGCCTGTTCCTGCTTATGGTCCTTCTGGGAATCCAGCCATGTCTCTAAAAGCTGAAAGGAGAAGATGATGAAAGCAGAGGCCCAATTAGCTGGATCCCAGAGGGTAGAAAGGGAACCTTGAGGCTGGCTTCTGCACAGAATCAAGGCCATCATTCTGAGAGCAGGATTTCTTTGGCCTAGAAGCACATTCTATGTAGGTCTGGCACATTTTCCCAGCCCCCAATTTTCCCCTTCTCTGGGTGCTAGAAATCTCTCCACTAGCGCCTCTTTCTTCCAGGTGTAAGCAGCGACTGTCAAATGATATTGACCATGGCTCACTTCAATGGGTCAACAAACCTCACAGTTCCCCTGCCCACCTCTTCCCATTCTTCAGTAGAAAAAACACTTGGTAACAGCCAAGAAGTGTCAACTGTATTCACACATTCAGTGGTGAGTTATGCACAAGTTTGTTGGAGAAATATAGTTATGGATTGATCCTATTTGCAACACAATGTGTAATGTCCCACCACTGGTAAATTACAGGCCCTAAATACCTAAATACCACTGATCCAAATACACATCACTTACTCCATGTCAATCTGTAGCCACTAATCTGACAATGATGCAGGTAAACAAAAGGCAACTTATAACTGAAAATGAAGAAAAGCAACAGATGAAAAAAATCCACAACCAATTCCAACTCCAGAGAATATTGATGCTACATCAGTTAAAAACAACCAAACAAAAAACACCCTTCCTGAAGACAGGAGGCACTCCAGTGGAGCTCTGCAATATGTTCTTATGCCAGACTGTGATGAAATACGCAAGCAAAGACTGTGATTCTACATACCATTTTCCATAAAAAGGAACCACAGCTCCTTGAAAAAACAGTTGATTCCTGGCCAAGGAAGGAAAAGACACAAAATATTACAGTGGAAAGCAAGGAAACTCTTCGAGATTCCGAGTCATGTTAAAAGGACTCAGGAGCCAACTTGAAGAGGCTGTCACTGACAAAAGATGAGACAATTGAAGCGTTAATAAGAAAAATAGCTCTCATTGATTCAAATACATCAAATATTTTAAAATTCATTTTAAATTCAAGTGATACAACAGGACTACCTGTGAAGTAACCTTGCTAAAAATTAATTCTGAATCTGTTCAAGCCTCTAGATCTAATAATCTATAGGAAATACTTGGACAAAGGAATTTGTTAAATGACCCTAAAAGAATGGAATGAGTGCAACCCACAATGTGGAGCATTTACAGAAGAAATTACTTGGTTTCTTCAACAAATATATTTCAAGGAAAAAGTGACAGAAGGGGAATCTATAGATGAAGAGACTTAAGCAACCAACCAATGGGAATCTATGCACCTATTTAGGACCTGATTCAAGTGAGCAGATTTTTAAAATATATATATTTGTGAGACCATCAGGCCAAATTAAACATTGTCTGAATATTTATGACATTAAGAAATTAAAGTTACATTTTAAATATAATAATGACAGCACACATATATTTTAATAGATTCTTATATTTGATCAACATACTAAGATATTTATGGATCAAATGGTATGGAATTTGCCTCAAAATAATTCAGGGGTAAAGAAGTTGGGGAATGTGAGGAGTATAAGTAAAATAAGATGGGGCAGGACTGACCTTTGAAGCTGGATGACGGCACATGGGGCTCACGACTCTGTTCTCTCTGCTTTCTGTTCTGCCTTCTGCTCCATCTTTGTTCCTCAGTCTTCTCCCCAGCCCAGTCTCTCAAACTCTCATACTCTTCCTTCTGAGACATTCTTCGTCCCCAGGAACTCCTCCTGAGTCCCTATCAGGCCCGCAGGCATCCTGGTTTGTCCACATCGCCACCCCATCATGGCCCAAGTGGAGCTGTCCCATGAGAAGAATGAGGAGAATCAAGACTCCACATGGCACCCCCTCTCCTTCTGCCCCATCCTCTTCTCCCATGGACTCTGCCATCACAGGGTCCAGACCTGGGCTGAGGCCAGGAGGCTCTTTGGGGACAATCTATCCTCCTTTGATTCATACAACAGTGAATTGATTATCATTCCTGGGCTGCCGGAACCCAGAGCCACTAGGACCAAGGTACACATGTCCTCCACTTCTCCTTGAGGCTCCTGGGAAGAGAAGGACCAACTGTTCCCAGGCTCATCCCCAGGACAAGTCCCCAGACTTATGAGAATCAGCTTTGATCAGTAAGTGATTCTCTTCTCTCAAGAGGCCAGGAGCTCACTCACCTCCACCCCCACCCATCCAACATTCACCTTCCCAGTGCTGAAGGCCAAGAGCGTCCTTGAATGTACAAGAGGACAAGCAGACAAGGAGGGACAAGCTCTTGGCCTGCAATGTCTCCGGCTTGTGTGTTGGGGTGAGGGTGGGGACTGGAGGTTCCAGAGCCTCCCCTGCAACTGTGAGTGAACAGGGGTCCCCTGAACAGAGTGTCCCCTGCAACTGTGAATGAACCATCAGGAAGGTGGGTGGAAGTTGTGGAAGCAACTTGAGAAAGTCCCTGGGAGATCAGAGGTCTAGGTCGGAAGACAACTGTGCCAGGGGAAGGCAGGTAAACTGGAAGAAGGGTACCTCCTGGTAGTAGTTAACTAGGAAAATAAGACAACAGATTAGCTCAGTGTCAGGAAAGTAAGTGCAAAAGAATATGGCTGGATAGACAGGTAGATGTCGTAGACATTCAGTGTAGAGCTGGGCTAGCAGGCAGGTGAGTGGACTTAAACAGGTTAGAAAATTTATTGGGACTATTATTTAAGTCACAATAACAAAGGTGACTGCCTACAGTATCCCAAGAGGAGGTTTAGGACACAGTCTGAGAACCAGGTCAGATGCTGAGATCAATAACCCAAATCCCTCCCATTATCGATCTCAGTTTCCTCAGCCCTTGGCTTGCCCCTTCACTCCGTTACTGTGTCTTCCATCTGCCTAGGGCACATTTCTTCAGGTGTGCTCAGGGTAGAAGGTATAGGCTCAATCACACTGTTTAGAAACTTGAGGCACTCATATCCCAGGTCCCACTTGGTTCCAAATGTCATCACCCACCAAAAGAGAACTCCTGGCTCAGATCTGGGGTCCTTTCTCTCCTTTTCCCCAGCCTATAGGCAAGAGCTCCTCATCACTGTCTGCAGCTAGGTGACGGTGGTATCTGCCACTGTCTGGCACTATGCACATCACAGCTTGTCATTTAAGATTTTGACTTGTGGCAACTTGAGGGTGTATAAGAGTTGTCTGCATAAACTAAGAGGAGAGAGGGCACTCAAGAAGAAAGGAAATAATAAAAAGAATGGCAATCTCTGGCAGAGAAAGAAAGAGGAGGAGTGAGTATACAAAGATGATTAAAGCTGGATCAGTGGTTGTGGGGGTGGAGAAGTTCTGGGTCACTCGAAGGACATGGGAACCAGACCTGGAGCTGTGAATGAACTGGACCAAGTCATGCTGTGCTCACAGGAAGCTTTGCTGGGTAGGTGCCCAGCCAGCTATGTGGATGGAGGTGTCCAACCTTGGGTGGAGCCAGAAAGGTGTCAAAGCTATCCTTACCTCAGCAGCCGCTTGGAGTAAACCCACAAAGCTGTGCTTGGGCACATCTGAGGCATCAAATTCCAAGTCCCTTTCAGGACTCCAAGCCCTCTCAGGAGAATGAGGTACACATGACTGTCAATATTTCTGTAAAGAATAAAGAGCAGGGTTTCTCTTCTTCTGAATATGGTTATTTTCTTAGGGTATTTCATCATGGATGGTGAAAACATGGAAAGAATAAGGCTTAAGAATCAGAAGAGGTAAGTTTGGCTCCAGACACAGACTTTGCATCTTCCTACAACACTTCCTTAGGCAATCTGCTTAAATTTTAGGGCCTCTATTTCTTCATATGTAAAATAAGTATAATAAAAATTAGCATGAGAATCAAAAGCGGTGAGATTATGTGCTATTAGGTATCAAATTTCAGGATCTCAACCTGTCCTTTGGATCACATCTTTTCCCTTGAGCTCTTAAGTGCCTTTTATAAGTGGAGGTTTTATAAGTGGAGGTTAGCGTCTGGAAGCCTGAGTTGCCGCATCTGTAAGATTGACATGGGTAACAGCGCTCACCAAAGTGCTCTAGACAAGACGGGTGATGGTGTCCCCAAAACGGTGTGGAAATCACCAGAGAAGGTAAGTTTTGAAAGCGCTTGGCTGAACCGAGCCGCATGAAGAAGAACTGACAGGTAAAACCCTTTACAATGAACTCCTATGAGCCCGTGACAGTTTAACAGTAGGCAGCGCGTTCCTTGAGCAGCCGTTTCTTCTCTAATTGGCTTCTGGGTTGTCAATCAGATGCTGGCTCCGCCCCTTCAGTGCCTGACCGTTTTTCCACCCTGATTCGCCCCGCCCCTTCGCAAATTGGGTCCCAAGTGGCCGAAGGAATCCTGGGGTAGGAACTAGAACACCTTCACCTACGATTGGGAGTGTGTGTGAGTCACCCACCCTGTGGGGCCTGGCAGGGTGGGGTGGGGCTGGCGTCTGAGCAGGACTGTAGCTCACCCAGCCTCTTTCTGGAGTGGAGGAGCCGGCAACTCTCTCTGCCTTGGTTGAGGGGGGCCTCAAAGGCGACGTGGCCATTCAGCAGGGCTCAGGAGCACCATGGTTTTATTAGGGTTTGTGTCTTGGATGTAATTAATGGCCAGGACCTGTGGCTTCTAGGCCTGCTCTTCCCCAGGGATGGCCTGCGGGTAGGTGTGGTGTTGGCCTGCAGTTGGCCATGGCCTCCTGGATCTGATGGTGTTGGCCTTGTCCCTTCAGCACGACCCTCCTGTGCCTGTGTCAGCCTCCATAGAGCTCATCCTGGTGGAGGGTGTGGGGATGAGTCCAGAAGAGGTGACCATCTGCAACCACCCTGGCATCCAGGTATGGCCCTAGCCCTGCCACGGCCGTGCAGGGGTGAGACTCACTGGGGGCCCCTCACCTCTGACACGCAGCCTGGCCCCTCCCTGCCTCTCCATCCTGCAGGCGGACCTGCCCCTCAGAGGAGGCTCCGGATACTTCTTCCTCAACACAAGCACCACAGACATCATCAGGGTGGCATCCCGGGAGGCCAGGACAGTCACCGTGGTGAGTTCACTTTAGTTCCTCATCTGGGACACTGTGTGGTTAAGTGGATTCACTATTTGAAGAGCTGGCACTTAGTCACACCAGCTAGAATTAGCAGGGCCTTTAGATTGTCTGCTTCACTCAGCAACTTTAGTTGCCGTGCTGCCCCTGTGGGTTTTACTCCACATCCACACACTACTCGTGCTATTAGTTATCTAATGGTTTCCTTTCAATCCATCTCTTAATTAACACTGAAACATTATTTCATAAGCAGCACTATAACAACCATAAAGAAAAGCATTTTTAGAGGATGCATCAGCTTTTTCTATTAAGATTTTTCCCATATTTCTTTCTTGACCTTCTCCCTATCCTTGCAAGTACTGACTTAGCTATGCCTGTGTTGGGGGTCAGAATTTAGCATTCTGTATTTTTGATTATGTTATCCTAAGATTTTGTATTTTTCCCTGTTGCAATATAGGCTAGGTGATTATTTTCTGCAGTCATTTGTACTTTAGCTGTTCTCCTTTTGTGAAGCATGTGGATTTTTAAAAACACTTTTTTTTTTTAAATATAGCAAAGCATAGGATAAAAAGAGCAAAAACAAACAAACGCCAGTGTCCAACATGTCCGCACATCTGCATGATGTGTTACTGAGCAGCCATGAAAATTGAACTTGTTTGTGATGGCAGTGCTTACCATTGAATGTGTAGTACAACCACTCCCGTAGGTCATGAATGCCCAGGCTCAGCAGTGACCTCCACCCGTGCGATGGGGACCAGGCTGAAGGACAACCTGACAGAAAAAGTCTATGCTGTACAGCAAAGTGCACAAAAGTGCTTGATGAATTTAATATATGAAAACACCATGTGCAACCACAATCTAGGTCAAATATTAAACATTTTGAGCACCCAGAAGATTCTACCATTCTTCCTCCTAGCCACAACTTCCCTGAACCCAAAAGTAATGATCATGCTGATGTCCACCCTCATGGATTAGCTGTGCCTGTTCCTAAACTCTGTGTCAGCGGCACAGTACAACATGTACCTTCTTATGTCTTTTCTGTGTGAGACTCACCCATGTTGTCACATGCAGCTGTAGTTTGTTCTATTTCATTGCTGTGCAGTGTTCCATTCCTTGCGAATGTTACCACTGATGTTTCCATTCCTTTGCTTTGGTCATTACAAAATGTGTCATTTTGTGGGGATGTGCGCTTTTTGAAACAAATAGGCTTCATTTATGTAGATTATACAGTTATAGGTTTACAGCAAAATTGAGCTGTGTGAGTCCAGAGTTCCCACATCCCCCTCCCCTGACAAACACACAGCCTCCCCCACTACCCACATCTCCCACCAGAGAGGTACGTTTGTTCCACTCAAGGAACCTGCACTGACACATCATTGTCAGCCACACTGACTCCTGCCTCATTAGGGAATGCTCTTGCTACATCCCTGATAACTGTTCTTGCTCTGAACTCTGCTGTGATCCCTGCTTTCTTCTGATTAATGTTAGTGTGATGTATTCCTCTCCATCCATTTACCATTTTTTTTTCTTTGAAACAGAGTCTCGCTTTGTTGCCCAGGCTAGAGTGAGTGCCGTGGCGTCAGCCTAGCTCACAGCAACCTCAAACTCCTGGGCTCAAGCAATCCTTCTGCCTCAAGCCTCCCGAGTAGCTGGACTACAGGCATGCGCCACCATGCCAGCTAATTTTTTCTTATATATTATTTGGCCAATTAATTTCTTTCTATTTATAGTAGAGACGGGATCTCGTCTTGCTCAGGCTGGTTTTGAACTCCTGACCTCAAGCAATCCGCCCGCCTCGGCCTCCCTGAGTGCTAGGATTACAGGCGTGAGCCACCACGCCCGGCCCATTTACCTTTTATGTGATGTGTCTTTGTATTTAAAGTGGGTTTCTGGTAGACAACCTGCAGTCAGGTCTTGTTTTTTGATGCAGTCTGACAATCTTTGTCCTATATTTTAACCATTAACATTTAAAGTAATCATTGATAGAGTTGGATTAATATTTGCTACATTTGCTACTGTTTTCTTTTCATTGCCCTGGTTCTTCGCTATTCTTTCTGAATTCACTTCCTTTTCTGCCTTTTGAAGTTTTAATTAATCATTCTATATGATTCCAGGCCATGGTTAAATAGTTTCTCATGAGCAGCCTTGTGCGGAAGGACAGAGCGCTCTGGCTTATTTCCCTTCCCCCTGTGAGGGGCACCAGGAGGATTTTTCTCCAATAGTCCCTATAAGAACCTGGTAGGACTCCTAGAGGTAAACTCACAAAAGAGTGGGTTCCACTCTGACTGGGCCTCCTTGGAGTGTGGAACTCTCAGACTTGTCCACACGGAGCCTCCAGTGACGTGTCAGCTGCAGGTTGGGTTTTCCTGACCCGGTCCTGGTTCCTGGGGAGGTGTCTGCTCTTCGGTCTGTTCTGGGAACTTGTGATCTCTGCATTTGCCTGTCTGTCTGTCTCCAATTTTGGAGGCAACACTTTGCCCTGTCACCTCACTTCTCTGCCCGGTCCAAGAACAGTTGTTTGTTTTTGTTTATTCAGCTTTTGACTCTTCCTTAGATAGAGTGATGACTCCCAAGCTCCTTGGACCGGAAACTGGAATATGCACTTATTTTTGCCACCTAAGGATGACACTGTGTGATCATGAGGTGTGTGCATATTTTTACAGTGCTGCGAAGGAATTTTCCAAAGTGGTTGTGCCACTTCACATTCAGTAGTGTGTAAGAGTTCCAGTTCCTCCACATACCCACTAGCTCCTGGAACTGCTAGATTTTAATTTGAGCCACTGCGTTGTGTTGTGGTGGTGTCTCATTGTGTGTCTGACTAACGAGGTTGAGCACATTTTCATTCCATGCTGTATTTAACTTCTCTTTAAGCCCCTTCACTTTGGACTTACTTACCGGAGACTCTTCTTGCTTTCTGAGGTTAGGTCTATTGGTATTTGGCTTACATTTCCCCTTTACCTTACGCCTGCTACTCTTTGCCTGCTCTGACCACTGAATCCTGCCCCAGCTTCTGGGGAACTCAAGCCTCCTTGTGCTCCAACTACCTGTGAGAATAATTAAGAAAGTACCAAATTCCAACATTATCCTCCTATAATGACTCACACCCTCTAACCTCCCAGCAAAGCTCCTTGGATTCCCATGTGAATAGACCCTTAGGAGCCCAGCTGGGTCTCTTGACAAGCCTGATTAGGCCCAGGGCTCATGCTTAGTTCAGCACTATCTCATGCTGGGGCTCTGCTCTGCTTTGCTAAATCAAGGCACAAATAATTTCAAATTGGGATTCTGTGAATTTTTATTGAACAGATAGTACTAGAGATAGAAACTGACTCCTCTTTGTCATGGCTATAGGTTTCTTCTAAAACGCAGTCAGAATTTGACTTCACAAATACCCTAAACCAAAATGTAGCTATTGGGTGACTGTCATCAACACCTGACATGAAGGGCTGGGTATTGTGAAGCCACAGGCTTGATTAAGGCCTTTAGATAGTTGAAGTTGTCATGTATCTTTGTGGTAATAAAAATCTATATCTTAACAGAATCACTCATCTCTACAGAAAGTCATGGAAAATAAACAGAATCACTCATCTCTACAGAAAGTCATGGAAAATAAACAACCTACCACTGAAGTTTATTGAGTCAAGGAGGAAATTAAGATGGAAATCAAAACATTCTTTGAACTAAATGAAAAAGGGGATGCAGTTATCAAAATCTGTGGGGCACAGCTAAAGCAGTCCTGAGAGGAAAACCTATAGTGATAAATTCCTACACCCAAAAGATAGAAAGATCACAAATCAACAATTTAACGAATTATCTTGACAGGGAAAAACCGTTGGGCACCGGGAGGCAGCCAGGGGCCGCCTCCGTGGTGCTCCGCGTCCCTGCAGGCTGGCGCTGCTCTGGGCCAGCTGGAGGCCGCGGCGGGTGCACGCTGCTGGGGCCGGGCCTCAAGTCTGTCTGGGCCTTGCTCGGTGCTCAGCCTCCTGCTCCCGTCTTACCGCTGCGCTGGCTGCAGACCCTTCTGCCAGTCCCAGGTATGCCAAATCAAAAATCAATAATCTAATGAATCATCTTGACAGGGAAAAACCATTCATGGTGGACACTGGAGCAGAACACTCAGTTGTGACAACCCCCGTGGCCCTGCTTGCAAAGCAAGAAACAATTATAGTTGGAGCTACCGGGACCCGGGTAGCCAGACCCTTCTGCCAGTCCCAGGTATGCCAAATGGGGGGCCATCAGATAAGCCATGAGTACCTCTACATCCCAGACTGTCCGGTGCCTCTCTTGGGACAGGCCTTACTGAGCAAACTTGGGGCACAGATCACCTTCCATCCTGAAGGAGCTGCGAGTCTCAGGCTCAGCACCCCGGGGATGGCCCTTGTAATGGCAGTCACCCTGCCATGAGAGGCGGAGTGGAGGTTATATGAGGAGGCCACGGAGGAGCAAAATCCCACTGAATTCCAGCAACGTTTCCCGCTGGTCTGGGCAGAAGATAACCCCCCGGGCCTTGCACACCAACATGTCCCTCTAGTGATTGAGGTGAAGCCTGGTACCCAGCCAGTCAGGAAAATGCAGTACCCCCTCTCCAAGGAGGCATGAGAAGGGATACGGGAACACATTGAGAGGCTTAGGCAGGAAGGGATCTTGGTGGAGTGCCAGTCTCCTTGGAACACGCTGCTCCTGCCTGTCAAGAAGCCAAATGGAGGAGGGTATCATCCTATCCAGGACCTGCAATTGGTCAGTCAACGAGGCCATGGTGACCCTCCACCTGGTAGTCCTGAGCCTGTACATCCTCCTGGGACTCATCCCACCAGATGCCACCTGTTTCTCCTGTCTATACCTAAAAGAGGCATTCTTTTGCCTGTGACTGGCTCCAATGAGCCAACTGCTATTTGCTTTTGAATGGGAAGACCCCCAGACAGGAAGAAAGACCCAATTCACCTGGACACAGCTGCCACAAGGGTTCAAGAATTCACCAACCCTGTTTGGAGAAGCCTTGGCTACAGACCTAGACCCCTTCCCACAAGAAGAGGCTCTCTGTGCACTGCTGCAATACATTGATGACCTTCTCCTAGCAGGAGTAACTAAGGAGGACTGTGAACAAGGGACCCGCTGTCTCTTGCAGCTACTCACAGATAAAGGATAAAAGGTTCCCTGGAAGAAGACACAGATTTGCAGACAGCAGGTCAAGTATCTGGGCTTCCACATCACCCATGGGCACCACACACTGGGACATGAGCACAAGCACGCCATCTGCACCATCCCAAGGCCGACAAAGCAGAGGCAGCTGCGGGAGTGCCTTGGGGCGGCAGGATTCTGTCACATATGGATACCAGGTTTCTCCCTGAAAGCTAAGCCGTTGTATGAGGCATTATGGGAACCTGACAGTGGGGAACTAGAATGGACCTAAAGCCAGGAGGAGGCTTTTCAAGAACAGAAAGAGTTGCTTAAGAAGGCCCCCATGTTGGGCTTGCCAGACCTCATCAAGGACTTCAACCTGTTCGTGCACGAGAAGAAGCAGGTAGCTATGGGGGTACTGACGCTGATTGTGGGCCCCTGGCAGAGACTAGTAACCTATCTGTCCAAACAGCTGGACTCAGTAGCGTTGGGATGGCCGCCTTGCCTGCAAGCACTGGCAGCAGCCGTCTTGCTAATCAAGGAGGCGGACAAGCTTACACTTGGGCAAAACATCCGTGTGTAGGTCCTGCATGTGATAGTGGCTTTGATGAATACATCTGGGCACCAATGGCTATCTAGCACTAGGCTGGCGCAGTACCAGGGACTGCTGTGTGAAAATGCATGAGTCACCATCAAGACTGTGCAGACTTTAAACACTGCCACCTTCCTTCCTACTGAACCAGGGCCCCTGGACCATGACTGTGCCGAGGCAGTGGAGGAGGTCTATGAAAGCCAGCCAGGCTTGAAAGATGGTCCATTGCCAGTGCCCGACCTGGAGCTCTACACAGACAGCATCAGCTACATCCAGAATGGCAAACAGTTGGCTGGCTACACAGTCACCACGGGGAGCAAAGTCATCATGTCAGCCCCTCTGCCTCAGGGATGGTCAGCCCAGAGGGCAAAGTTATAGGCGCTCATCCAAGCCCTTAGTTATGCCCAAGACAAAAGGGCCAATGTATGTACAGACTCCAAATATGCCTTCACTACGGTGCACGTACCTGGGGCAATCTACAAGGAGAGGGCTATTGACCGTGGGTGGAAAAGAAATCAAAAATAAGGAAGAAATTCTTCAACTATTGGAAGCAGTATGGGCACTGAAGGATGCTGTGCCCGTTTGCAGGTCAGAGGATGAACACAGAAAAAAGAGACACAAAAAGAAAGACACAGACACACACAAAGACGGTACGAGACTGCAGTGCCAAATGCACCAGTCGTTTTATCTTTATACCCTAAAAAATCAAAGTTACTTCCTTGTACATGACCACCCAGGCATTGCAGCAATGGCCATACATTCCGGAACACGTAGCCTAAGGACACAGATATCCCCTGACTCAAGGTTTCCAGGCAGTTGCGCCAGGTACAGATTACAGACTG